CCACTTTATCTTCCAGTCTTGATATTGTTTTCCATTTCATTCATCCTATTGGTGAGTCTTTCTCCTGTTGTTTCTAATTGACTTACTGTTTCACTTCCTTCATTTCAGCCTGAGTATTCTTCAATATTTTTAACTTTTCTGAATACATTCAGAAGTTTATCCATCTTCCTTCAGTTCTTTGATTCTTTGTGTGTTCTTTAAATTCACTGAATTCTTTTATCGTGTTTATAATTGTTCTTTTGAGTTCCATGTCCTGCATTATCTCTAGGGAGTTTTCTTTGTACTCCTCTAGAGGACTATTGGTGTTTGGTGGGGATCTGTTATTTTGTTTTTTCATGTTACTATTTTTTCTCTGTGATTTTGACATGTGAATTTCTTTTGTAGTTTCTTATTCTTGTGTGAGACTCAAGCCTTCAAATTTAGGTCTGCTTCTTTTTGTAAACTTTATGTGTCTTTGTGGTTTACTTTTTGGGCATGAAAAGCTGGTTCCTCTAAGCTTCCGGTTCTCTCTTTTCATCTTATATTGGAACAGCCAGAATGGCCAGATTGCTTTTGTCTTCAGGAGTTCTCACAGAGGCCCAAGTCAAATGAGAATCAGCTGTTCTCGGGCTTTCTCCACAGGTCTGGATCCCTCCAGGAAAGATTTTGACCTCAGGAATTTGGGGGTTGAACTGGCCTGGGAGTCAGGCCCAGGAAAGATGCTGGTTTAGGGAAGCTGGTGGCTGTGCCACCCAGAGATGCCAATGAAGATGGGGCAGAAAGTTGCCCCAAGGGCTCCTGGAGACTGCACTGAGAAGCTTGGTTGGTCTGGATGCAAAGGATCAGGAAGAGGAAAGGTCAGCCCCAAAAGAGGCTGGTGGGTCATGCAGGCTCAGGGAAACAGAGGGAGGTGAGGGTGGGGCCAGGCCCAAAGTGCTCCTGGGGACCCAAGAAGGAACTGGGTTGGTCTGGATGCAAAGGATCAGGAAGCAATGGTGGTTCCTCTGGTGTCCAGGGCACCAAGACAAGGAATGGGACAAGACCCAGGCTAGGAGGAGAGATGGGTAGGGGAGATGGGAGGGTGAATGCGGTTGGGGGAGTCAAGGTGTGGATGGTGCAATTGACTTACCCTGGAGAGTGGCCTGAGGGCTGTGCAGGCCCAGGGAAGCAGAGGGAAGTGAGAGCGGGGCCAGGCCCAGAGTGCTCCTGGGGACCCAAGAAGGAAGTGGGTTGGTCTGGATGAAAAGGATCAGGAAGTAGTGGTGGTTGCCCAAGTGTCTGAGGCGTCAAGATAAGTAATGGGAGAGAACCCAGGCTAGGAGGAGAGATGGGCAGGGGAGATGGGAGGGTGAATGAGGCTGGGGCAGTCAAGGTGCAGAGGGTGTGATTGATTTACCACGGAGAGAGGCCTGCGGGTCATGCAGGCCCAGGGAAACTGGTCTCTTCTTATCCACAGCTGATTCTTCAGCCCCAGCCGACCAGAACCCAGATTCTCAATTCAAGATATCACAGAAACAGCCCTGATAGTGTCCGCTTCCCTTTGAAGCTTCAGAAACCAGGCCTCCGTCATCCACAACTCTTTCAACATAACTGTTCCAAGCTCCACAGCAACAAACTCTGAGAACTGAACTTTCCAGCTCAAAGTTCAGAACACTTCCACAATCCTCCTAAAAATACCAAGGTCAGGTCTGTCACAGCAATATCTCACTCTTTGGTACCAATTTCTGTCCTATTTGTTTCTCCATTGCTGTGACAAAACACTCTGACCACTACCAAGTTGGGGAGGAAAGGCTTTATTCAGCTTACATCTCTCAGGTCACAGTTCATTAGGGAGACCAAGGTCGGACCGCAGGGCAGGAACCGGGAGACAGGAGCTAGAGCACAGGCCATGGAGAAATGCTGCTTACTGACTTGCTCCCCTAGCCCCTGCTCAGCCTGCTTTCTTATGCAACATAGGCCCACCTGCCCAGGGGTGGCACCACCCACAATGGGCTGGGCCCTCCCACATCACTCAACAATCAAGAAGGTGCCCCATGGACATGGCCACAGGCCAGTCCAATGAAGGCAATTCCCTAATTGAGGCTCCCTCAACCCAGGTGTGTCAAGTTGACACTAAAGCTGTCCAGCATACCCTCCAAGGTCGACCAAGTGCCAGGGGACTATGGAACATTTCTCAAAATATCCTGTAACTGTGGTGAGTCACCTGTCTTCTTGTTCAGGGAGGACATGGAGACCCCACGAGATGGACTTGAACCAGTGTCCAGTCTATAATGAGGAGGGTCAACTCAGAGGCAACATGTCATTCATGCTTCCAAGTGAAGCCAGACATGGTCAAGCAGGACCTTTGACTTATCTTCACATAGATGGAACTGGTAAAAGTGAGAGACCTGAGTGACTCCATCTTGGATAAAACCTCCATTTTGTATGGGACTGACCCAGCCCAGAACCCTGTTCCAGGAAAAACCACAAAAAAAGTATACTTGGAACAGACAGAGAACAACTCCCCCGCCAATGGTCAATTAACCAGGGACAGGAAAGTACTAAAAGTCCAGATGTCTCTTCAGATTTCCTGAAGGCAGCAGTTTATGGTTTGGCACTGGGCTGCAACCATCAGTTTAAAGGGCAACATTCCTTTTGTTAGGTTGACCAATCAGATGTTTGCCAGGCTAGAAACCTCCTACTTGCTGAATTTGCTGAAATAAACCTATAAAAACCTCTGTCTCCCAAAGCAAGAGGTCTCACATCTGAGATCCACTGGGTTGGTGACAGAGTGGGCCCAAGCTTAAGCTTGCAACAATAAAAAAAAAAAAAAACCCTTGTGTGTTTACATCTGTTGGCTCCTAGGTGGTCTTTGAAGTCTCGTGAACTGGGCACAACAAAGGAGCCAGGAGCTCCTCCCAAGCCCATGTGACCCCTGAGGAACAGACCCTCAAATGACCTTAAGTGTAAAAATAATTTATTTGGGCCAACTGTATGGTCTTAAACACCCAAAAGGAAAGTATAACCGAAGAGTAAGTCATCAGTATACTTATTTAAGAGTTTAAGGGATTACACTTCCCAGACATTAGGTTTAAGTCTATATAAAAAATTATTTAAGCCCTTGTCAAGAAATTCCAATGGACATATGAACATTTGAAAAGTGCCCTGTGCTGACTTTTTTCCAGTTCCCTGGCTAGAACTTGTAATACTAATTACTCTTGCCTTGACTTCTCCTTCACATCTCCTATTCACCAGTCAAGGACTTACTTTTCCCCTTAGAGATAAGAGTTATGCAATTTGGGAGTCTTTTAGATAGACCCACCGAAGGGGTACTCCAATTGCCTCACCCTGCACCCCTGTTCAGCACAGAAAAAGCCAGAGCAGTCTGCGTCCTGATTCCCTATAGATAATTTGGGGAACCTCTTCAGAGGATGGTGTGATAAGAATAGGAGGTAGGGGAGCTGGAGAGATGGCTCAGCAGTTAAGAACACTGGTTGTTCTCACAGAAGACAAGGGTTCGAATCCCAGAACCCACATGGCAGCTAACAACTGTCCATAACTCCAGTTCCAGGGGATCCAACAGCCTCTTCTGTCCTCTGCAGGCATTGCACGACACAGGTGCACTTACCTACAGGCAGGCAATACACTCATACACATGAAATAAAAAAAAAAAAAATTTTTTTTTAAAAAGGAGGTAGGAATTGTCTAGGCAGTCAGGGGAAAAAAGACTCTGCTGGATAGCTTTAGTGCCAACTTGACACACCTGGGTTGAGGGAGCCTCAGTCGGGGAACTTCCTCTATTGGACTGGCCTGTGGCCATATCTGAGGGGCACCTTCTTGATGAGTGATGTGGGAGGGCCCAGCCCACTGTGGGTGGTGCCACCCCTGGGCAGGTGGGCCTGTGTTGCATAAGAAAGCAGGCTGAGCAGGGTCCAGGAGAGCAAGCCAGTAAGCAGCATTCCTCCATGGCCTGTGCTCCAGCTCCTGCCTCCAGGTTCCTGCCCTGAGTTCCTACCTTGGTCTCCCTGATGAACTGTGGCCTTGGAGATGTAAGACAAATAAACCCTTTCCTCTCCAAGTTGGTATTGGTCAGAGAATTTTGTCACAGCAATGGAGAAACAAATTAGGACAGACTCCAAAGAAAAATAACCAATTTTTTGGCTAAAAATCAAAACGTCCTTGGGCTCTTAGTTACATACTCTGTTCCAAAGGCCAAAAATATCAAGAGTTTTTGGGAGCTCTTATCTAATCCCTAAAAGATTTTAGGGTTACCTCTTCAAAGGGGGTAATATTAGAGTAGCAAAAAGTCCCATGAAAGAAAGGTGAGAGAGAGGGAGAGAGAAGAAAGAGAGAGAAGAAAGAGAAAGTCAGAAAAAAGTGATGGGGAGATATGGGAGGTGTTGGAGGGGAGGGAGTGGGTGTGGGTTTGATCAAAACACCTTATATGCATATATGAAATTCTCAATAAAGTTTTTTTTTTAAATAAGTGCTTTGGGGGCTGGAGACATGGCTCAGGAGTTAAGAGCATATACTATTCTTGCAGAAGACCAGAGTTCAGTTCCCAGCACCCACATTGGGCAGCTCACAACTGCCTATAACTCTAGCTCCAGGGGACCTGACATCCTCTTCTGGCCTCTCACAGACAGACAGACAGACAGACAGACAGAAACACACACACACACGTAAAATCCTTTTTAAAAGTACTAATCTATGTTAAGAAAACAAATGACAACATAGTCTGTGTTTCCAAATAAGAAATTTTATTCTAAATATTCACATAATTTTTAAAAAGATTTTTCCTAAAACATTTTTATAAAAGTAACCCCAGTGTCATAAATTCTGGAAATGATTTTGCATTAGTATTACCTTAAATGGAAACATTCTCAAATATCCTATAGGTCTCATTTACATAGCTGAAAAAACTTTCATGATAAATGATGCTACTGATAACCTGACTTGGTAGAATCTTTGGTGATTTATACTTTATAAATAAGCAAAACACACACACACACACACACACACACACACACACACACACAGAGAGAGAGCATATCCCTTTCTAATGGCTTGCATTGGAGACCAGGGAGTTACATTTTGTTAAACCCAAATTGAACAGAGTTGAATTCAGGTTAATACAGAGAAAAGCATGCTCTGGATGTGTTGTCCTTTGTAGTTCCTGAAGCATGAGATGAATTGTAAAAATTTCAAACAGCTTCTTATTACTCCTGTAAAAGAATCGGCATATTATTTAATTACATGTACTTGAAAGAGAACTTAGGCGAATGTGAGGGCATGGTACTTGTGCTCACCAGATAAAAGTACTTGCTGTGCAACCCTGAGGAACTGAGTTCAAATCTAATGAGCATCTCCCCAAATCTGTGGTCTTTGGTAACCATTAATATTCATGAATCTTAAATTTATAAGATTATTTCCCATGTACATCTATAGACAGGAAATTTTAATAAAGTTGAACTCGCAAGAGATTAAGAAAGGCTGCCCTAAATGATCATAACATAATTATCTTTCAATAAAAAATATTACAAAAACCAAAGTCTTACTTGATTTTGGAAAGTTTCTGTAGGATAATACTGAGCTTTTCTAGGATATGAAGATCAAGTTTAGGGGTTCGAAGCAGCACAGAACAAGTACGGAAAAATAAAGAGTTGCTGCAGGCTTCCAGGAAAGGCTGCAACGATTCTGCAAAACAAATTACCCATTTTTACTGTTAAGGAGTAGCTAAAAAGAAAATTAAAACAACAACAACAATAACAACAACAACAACAACAACAACAACAACAACAACAAGAACAAAAACCCAGAACTGTGTGAGTCACTGATAAACACTTACTTAGCTTTTCATTCTTCCGCACTTTTTTTTTTTTTTTGGTCTTTTTGAGACAGGGTCTCCCTGTAGCCCCAACTATCCTGGAGCTGGCCTTGAACTCACAGAGATCTGCCTGCCTCTACCTCCTGAGTGCTGGCATTAAAGGCATGTGCCACCATGCTGGGCTATTCTTTCATACTTAAGCTTTAGGGTGAAACTATGATTTGGAAAGTTAAAACACCCACTGGCTCTTGTGGAATATAACGAGAAGACGATTATCTAACATTAAGCTCATATTAGGTAAAATTCAACAGAAATCTCATGTTTGAGAGAAAGCTCAGTTTAAATAACTGGCAATAAGAAATTTTGTTGAAGTACTAAGTTAATTTTCTTTAAAATACTAAATTTAGCAATGTTAGTATTACATGGAAAGAACATTTTGAGCATAAAAGCTGAAGAGGGAAAGATTCATAAAAGATTGAAAATCTAATGAAATAACATTTAAAAATGAATTTAATTGAAAAATTAAAAGGCCTGGGAAACAAAGCAAGCAAAACCAATGAGAAATTACAAACTTAGAAGAGAGGAAAGGGGAATGACTTTGTAGTGTATTTGCCATAAGAAACCATCACTGTATAACAGTTCTTAGAAAAGGTATTTCTAGCCAGGTGTGGTGGCGCACACCTTTAATACCAGCACTTGGGCGGCAGAGGCAGGGAGATTTCTGTGAGTTCAAGGCCAGCCTGGTCTACATAGTGAGTTCCAGGACAGCTGGGCTACAGGGAGACCCTGTCTCAAAAAGACCAAAAAAAAAAAAAAAAAGATATATCTAGTATTATTTATCAATGAATACAATTAAGCAATTTACAAGAGAACATATTCACATTAAGAATAAAATAATTAGAGCCAGATGTGGTGGTGCATGCCTTTAATACCAATACTGTAAGATCCAAGGCCAGCCTGGTCTACATAGTGAGTTCCAGGACAGCTGGGGCTATAGGGAGACCTTGTCTCAAAAAATAAAAATAAAAATAAAAAGTAAAGCAAAAATAAAATAATTTGAATCTCCCAAATTTTTACACTACATGTACATATCCTTTTACTCAGTAATTCTGTCCCTAAGGACTGTTCAAAAGAGATGTAAGCAAAGGTTTATGGAATGGGAGGGAACTCATATGTGGCACTGTAAACATCACCAAATACATACACACAGCAGGACAGGTTACAGACCCTAAAGAAAATTCTATCTCTGTCATATTTCTAGACAAATGAAATTTCTTACTTATGCTAAACATGGATCCTTATATTTACAGACAAGTATACTATTCACCACTCATCAAAGAAGCTTCTTTTTGCAATAGATGGAGACTATTACAGAGTTCTACAACGGGTCAAACACAGAGAATGTCTGAGAGATGCCCAGTCCTAAGAGACACATCTACAGTAGAATCTCTACACCTAAGTCTCATGGAACATAGAAGAGGAAGCAGAGAAATACCAATACATCCCTCAACTCTCACAAGTGAAGCTTCCTCATACAACAGAGTGTGATGCACACAAAAGGTACAACTAGCTAAGTTTTAGAGAACAAGAGACTGCAGAGTGAATATCCCTGGATAGGACACCTAATATTAGACTTCACCCACTCATGTGAAGGAGCATTGCCAAAGAAGGGGCAGAAAGATTCTAAGAGCCAGGACTGTTGCACAATCATAAGGAAACAGAGTCTTTCGAGTCTCTGGGACCTTTCTCATATGAACTTGCAGCAATGGTGACAGCATGCACAAGACCCATGCAAACTCAATCAGACAAAAACCCAGCATAGAACTGAGGAAATGGGAAGCAGGCCTCAACCTTAGCTGAGGAACTACTGGCAACTGATTGCTGCTGGGTGAAGAAGAGTTGATCTTCTTTAAGGGAGTGACTCTAGATAAGCTGACGAGACTCCAGTGGATGAACTTGCACTAAGGGGTATCTGGGTACACAAACTTGACTTCATAGGCCTTAACATATATGACAGAATGCATGAAATCTGGTGGGGGGCTATGAAGGATACAGAAGGGGGAGGGGATCTAAATGCAATTAAGATTTTATTGTATGAAATATACAAAAATTCAATAAAGAATCATTTTTAAAAAGAGAGACTCAAGCAAAGATTGGTGAATAGGAGCTATAGGTAAGAAGCCTTGTTTCACTTCTCATCATTTCCTGGTAATGAGAATATTTAAAATCCTCCTTTAGCAAGCACCAATTCTACTTCTAATTCTTTGAGTTTAATTTTTCCAGATTTCACACCTAAGTGAGAGTATAAGGTATTTGTCTCTCTGATATGGGCTTATTTCACTTAATATATTGTCCTCTGGGGTTTTTTTTGGTCTTTTTGAGACAGGGTCTCCCTGTAGCCCCAGCTGTCCTGGAACTAACTATGTAGACCAGGCTGGCCTTGAACTCACAGGGATCCTCTGCCTCTGCCTCCCAAGTGCTGGGATTAAAGGTGTGCGCCACCATGACCAGCTGAATTTCCTCCTTCTTAAAGGCTGAATAGAATGTATTGTTTACCTTCCAGCAGACACTTCAGATGCTTCTGTATCTTAGCTATTAGATGCAGTGCTACAGTGACAAGGGGTACAGACATGTCTTTGGCATACTGATTTCAATTCCTCTGCATATATACTTAGAAGTGGCATTGCTGGATTGTGGGTAATTGTGGTTTTAGTTTACTGAGGAATTGTTTTCCAAAGTGGCTACACTAATTTACAAAACCACCAACAGCATATGAGGTTTCCCTTCTTTCTATTTTCACCATTTTCCATCCCTCTTTCCCTTTCTTTCCAAGACAGGGTCAGTGTAATCCAGGCTAGCTGGGAAATCTTGCCCCCTCCCTGTCCCATGATGTAATTACAGGCACATGCGATCTGCCAGCTCTTCTTGATAATGACTACCTAATGGGTGTGACATGGTATCACATTCTGGTTTTATTTACATTTTTCTGAAAATCAGAGACGTAGAACATTTATGTTGTTTCCTGCTACTAAGTAATTTGAGTTTCTTGACTATTTGGACTATTAGTCTCCTATCTAATGTAATCTGAAAATATTTCATCCCTATCTATGGATTGTCTTTTTGCTCTGCTATTTCCTTTGCAGTACAGAAACTTCTTAGTTTGGTCCAATCCTATTTATCTATAATAATTACTTTTGTTAGCTGTGCTTTTGATGTCTTGTTTGAAAATCACTGCCCAAAACAATGACAAGGAACTTTCTCTTAGATTTTCTAATACTTTTACAGTTTCAGGTCTTATCTTTAAGTCTTTAATCTGAGTTTATTCTTAGGTGAAGAGAAACATGGGACCTAATACCAATCTTCTACATATGGATATTCAGTTTTCCCAATACCAGTTACTTAAGAAACTATCCAGCTGGGTGTGGTGGCACACGCCTTTAATCCCAACACTTGGGAGACAGAGGCAGGCAGATCTCTGAGTTTGAGGCCAGTCTGGTCTACATAGTGAGTTCCAGGCTAGCTGGAAAAAAAACCCTATCCTTTTCCTATTGTGTGTTATTGGCACCTTTGTCACAGGTATATCCCCATGTGACCAATTTTCCCATTTTATAAGAAAAGCAAATGCAAAATTTCCTCAAACTCTCAGTAGACTTCCAATTTTAATCTCATCAAGTGTGCCAAGCACGTGGCTGTTCTTGTCAGCAAGGAAAGCTAAGGGACAAAGTGCATTTTAGGTTTTTGCAGCTTACAGAGGAAAGGCAGGCAAAGAGGTAAGAATGTAGGAAGTGTCAACCCACAGCTTTTGCTGCAAGCGTTTATGTTGTTTCTTGAAATAAAAATTTTCAGTGCTTTATACATAAAAATATTTAACCGAAATTAGTATTTCCTAAGCTTGATAGAGCACAATGAATCCTCAGTTTGAGAAAAATAATCTGAAGATGCAATCTCAGCTACAGATCACTTTCAACAGTAGGGAAAAAGTGGCATTAAAGACTCCCTGTACTATTACCATACAAACACACCTGACAAAGCACAAGGAGCAAGCAATCTAAGAAAATAATTTAAAAGTCAGCCTCTGAAATCCCAAGAGACTTATTTATATAAACTCTGCCAACATTCCCTATAGCAAGTTTGTATTTTTGAATGTGCATGTTGTCAGCAAGTCAGTCAGCACACTCTTTGTGATGGTGATGTCCATGTTAGTAATCAGCCTGTTGAGAACAAGCACATACAGTTTAAATGCTTACAGTCTTAAGTTTGTATTTCTCAAATAGCAGCCATTTTAATGTTTTTAGAATTCTAAGGCAAGGAGTAAGCAGAATAAAATTATTTTGAAAAAACAAAACCTCTCCTAATTCTGATATTAATGTGCTAATATTAATAATATATTAATATTATATTAATATACCCAGGACAAATGTATTATTTTATACAGTGAGGATTTTATTTCTATTGCCAATGATTAAAAAGCTACAACAAACAGACCTTTGGAGACTGCCTGAGAGCACTTGAATCAAGCCTCCGTGTGGTGTGGTGGGCTTCCCAGGTCTCTCTGTGCCCATCCCCCTACATTGGGGCCACTGCAGTCCAAAACACTGCCCCACGGTCAGGATTCCCTGCTGGGCAGTAGTGGCCCAGACCTCTGGAGGCTGCCTGAGAGTGCCTGACTTGTGCCTGACTCAGGGTGCTGTGTGGCAAACTTCCCAGATCCAGACATGACCATTTCTCTACTTTGGGACCACCTGCAGTCCCTCCTGCTGTCCTGGGCCCAGGCTTCCCTGCTGGCTAGTAGGAGCCCAGACATTTGGAAACTGCCTGAGAGCACCTGACTGAAGTCTCTGCAGTGTGAGCTTCTCAAATCTCACTTTGC